ATTGATAATTTATAAATTATTATTTTGTCATATCTTACCCACTTTTCTGTTGTCCATCCTCCAGGGAGGAGGTTATATGTAGATAGAGCCTTGTAATCGGTTCCCCCTCTCTACCCCACCCTCCCTCCACCCTCCTGGTATCCCCACTGAAGGGATCATCTGTCCTGGATTCCCTGTGTTTCCAGTTCCTATCTGTACCAGTGTCCATCCTCTGGTCTAGCCAGATTCGTAAGGTAGAATTGGGATCATGATAGTGGGCGGAGGAGGCATTTAAGAACTAGAGGAAGGGTGTGTGTTTCCCCAGGCCTTCCTTCTGCTGTGCCTGTGGGTTGGGACCTACCAGACCTAGCCCATCGGTAGCTGTTTGTTATGAGTGACTGGCTGGATGACGGATGAAGGCGTGGCTCTTCCCTTGACAATGGATTTTCCAGGTTGATTGTTTTACAGTTGGTGGTTTTAGGGGCTCATCATGAGAAAGCTCAGGCTTTCTGCCCCCTTCAAGAGTCAGGCTCAGAAACCCACTGGGTTTCTCTGTTGTCCCACAGGGAAACAGCGAGAACCTACTTGAGGGCAGTGGGTTTGGAGGGGTTTGGGGCCTCAGGCTTGCGGCCCCCTCCTGTCCCAGTTTTCTAGAGCAGGACAGAGTTTTCCCAAGGTCATCTATAAGAAACAAGTTATCCAACCCAAATCCAAACTCGCGGCCCTCAAGTCGATTCTGACTCATAGCAGCCCAACTGGACAGAGAACTGCCCCATGGGTTCCCAGGCTGCCACCTTTACAGCCTCATCTTTTCCCCCAGAGTCGCTGGTTTGTTTGAACCACCCACCTTCTGGCTGGCAGTGGAGCACTAACCACTACACCACCAGGGTGCCTCCAGAACACGAAACGGGCCACCAACCTTGCTAATCTCAGTGGCTCTGGATTCTCAGTTCTGCCAGACCTGGGACCAAATTGACCTTTGGGACAGCATTCAAAAAGATTCTGAATACTCTCTGTACAACTAACTGTATAACATCACTTGGAAAAGTTGCTGGACTTTAAATACATCAGCTTTGAAATGCTACATATGGCACATTTCCATGGTGTTAAAGAGCTGAGCAAGATCTTTTTTTAAATCCATTATCCTTTTGGGGGTGATCTGGAAGCAGTGCCATATGGCCGAGGCTGTTTTAAGGCACGTCCACTCCAGAGTGGTCATGGGGAGTCTCTGAAGGGTGGGGAGCGGCAGGGATGGTGTGTGCAGCGGGCTTGCAGTATCACTCCGAGCACACAAGACTTGCTCTGTAAATAACAGCCTCACTGAGCAAACCAGCGTGGTGGTGTGACTGGATACCAGTGACCTTCTGGGTTCCCCGCCTGGCCCTGACCATGCAGGCTCTATGTGTCTGGGCAGACCACACCTCTACATTCCCTAGTGTTACTGTAACACAAAGACCACAGTGGGGTGCTTTAAAGAATCGCAGTGGCACTTCCGGAAGCTAAAAGGGCGCTCCCCCTACCCCCTCGAGTATCTCTGTATCTTACTTGCTCTTTTAATAACTCAGAAGTAATTAGGTTTAGAACCCATCATACTCCAGCAAGGGCTCATTAACAACGGAAGTCAGTTTTCCAAAGAGGATTCTTTCCACCCACAGAGTTAGGATGTCAATACACCTTTAGGGGTCTAGGATATATATATATGCACACACACATAAAGTCACAGTTAACAGGGCCTCCCTCAGAGGCTTGGTGGCCCATTATTCAAGCACTTGCTCTGGCACTGCAGCTTAACCCCTGGTGCAGGGGGTTTAAAGGCAGCTCATGGGCATCATTTCAAAAGAGCCTCCATGACCTCATCTGTGAAAGAAGAGGGGGTGGACCAAGGAGTGTCAGAGGACCCAGTCAAGCTGATGCCAAGGAGTCTTCTTAATTGGCACCCCAATCTGGGAAGGCCTCATGTCTGAGCATCTCATCGGGATCACTGAGTTTCAAAGCAATGGTGTTTCTAGATAGTGACGGGACACCAGGACGGGTATCAATCAATCACACAAGGGCCTGAATCCAAGTTTTGTTTTGCTTTTTCTTAAAGACGGCTCTCTACTCCCGTAAACAGTCTTGAAAACTCACAGGGCAGTTTTACCCTGTCCTATAGGGTTGCTAGGGGCCAGTATTGATTCGAATGGCAATGAGAGATTTTTTGTTTCCTCATTTACCAGATGCTGGTTCCTTTAGCACAGAAATCCGGAAACCCCACTGATCTTTGACGCCAAGATGCTTCCCCTGCCAAGGTATAAGATTTGTGTCTGTTAAATGAAAATAGGCACAGCAGTGGAGTAAGCTCCGCTTAGAGCAATGGTGTAAACGCTCATGAAAGCTTAGCTGCTAAACAAAAGGCTGGAGGTTCAAGTCCACCCAGAGACTCCTCTGAAGACAGCACTGACCATCTGTTTCCCCAAAATCAGTCATTGCAAACCAATGGGCCCTGTTCTACTCCGACATGCCAGGTCGTCAGAGTCAGCTCCCACTCAACAGCAAGTCTATTGTTGCCTTACCATGCTAGGGAAACCTGGCTGAGAGCTTAAAATGCATTTAATAGCCTGTTTCTATCCTGGAAACCATCACTGTAGAGCAAGCAGCACATCATTATCCAGTTTGCAGTCAGGGATACAAAGGTGGAGGGAGGTGAAGGAATATCTAGCATCCCACACCCACACCCACACCCACACCGTCCCCGGCCATCAAATCCTTTAGGGCAAAGTAGAATTCCTGTGGGATTTCTGAGGCTGCCTTTACAGGAGCAAACACCATCATCTTTCTCAGCTGGTGGGTTTGAGCCAGCGACAGTTCCAGGAAAGAAGACTCGAGAACTCTAGAGTTTGCCAGCTTATTCATGTACACCCTCAAACTCCTTTGTAATGCAACCTTCTGTGTTCATGATGATACTTCTACTGAAGACCCCAGGAATGGGTATTCATTGCCTCATATGCCTGTGAAATTTGCACATTGAATAAGTAAGACCATAGGGGAATCGATACATTTGAATCGTGGTGCTGGCGACGAATCTTGAAAGTACTATTGACTATTGAAAGACAAAAGGACAAAGTGATCTGTATTGGAAGAAGGCCAGAGCGCTCCTTGGAGACAAGGATGGTTAGACTGCCTCTTACATACTTGGGACATGTCAGGAGAGACCAGTCTCTGGAGAAGGACATCGTGTTTGGTAAAGTGGAGGGGTGGCGAAAGAGGAAGGCCCTTGATAAGATGGCCTGACACTGGCTGCCTCAACGGACTCAGGCATAGGAGCAATTGTGAGGATGGCGCAGGGCCACGCAGTGGTTTGTTTTTTTCCTCTTCCTGTTGTGCATAATCCTGCTGGGGGTCCGTGCTATCTCGATGGCACCTAACAACAAAGACAGGGGAGACACCGCTGTGGTCTTCCTTATGTCCCTTTGAGGTCCATGTGCCCTCCGATGGTTCCCTTACTGTCACACGGCAGGGCCAGTCGTTCCGATCTACAGTGGCTCTGGGGGAGAAAGCGAGGCTGACTGCTCACTAAAGACTGACCATCTGGAAAATCCCGGAGAGCAGTTCTGTCTCGAGAGGCTGGAGGAATCGGAATTGGAATGGAGTAGATAGCAGTGGGGGTCCCATGAGCTAATCGTCTATCCTCACGTTACACATTTAGAATCTGGCTGCCCAAGGAGCCTGCTGTCAGCGCCGGGGGTGGCATCGCTGTATGCGCAGGGGGACAGGGACACTGATAAGCTGGAAAGGCACTCCACGGCCTCTTGGAAGTCCCGGTTGCCTTTCTACTATCTCAAAAAATCCTCACTGCCACCCCAGTCAATTCCCATCAGTGACCCTGTAGAATTGCCTCCGCGGTCCCAGGATTGGGACTCCTCCCGGAACTGTCGCCCTCGGAGGGCCTGGTGGTCTCAAACAGCTGGCCTTGCAGTTAACAACCCAAAGCATAACCACTACGCCACCAGGGTTTCCAAGTAGTTCCGCTTCACCGCGTTAGAGCCGGACACGCTCTAACGTCGTTGCCATGGCAGCACGAGTGTCCGCGAGTGCCGCGCGCGTCATTTCCGGCGCGCCGGCACTTTACACTTCCGGGTTCCGGACACCCGGAGAGGCGCTTGTCCAGCGCCGCGGAGGCAGCAGTTTCCTGCCCGCGGGATTCTGCCTCGGTGAGTGGAGGCTGGGAGTGGGGATCGGGCTGGTGGTGAGCGAACGGCGGCCCGGCTCTCGACTCCCCGCCCGGCCCCGGCTCAAGATCCGGTTCGTAGATGGCGCTGCTGAGGCCCGACGGGCCGGGCCGCTCGGGGGCACCGTTGCCGGGGCCCAAGTGGACAACCCGGGCCTCCTCCGTAAAGCCTAGACTGTTGGTGATGGAATCTGGGGCCCGGAGTTTCGAGCCGCTTAGTAGAAAGCGCCTTGCCAACAAGTGTCCGGGTGTGCTGATGCTTAGGGTCTAAGTGACCCGCAGTGTCCAACACATACTTCATACCGAGGACGCTGCACCTCCTAACTTCTCTGATACCGTGGCACTGCCCAGGAGCCAGCGGCGTCATTTTCCCCGGGAATCTGGGACGTGTCAACCCCTCCGTCCCCCGCCCCCACACACCACTTCCGAGAACATTTGCCACTTGTGGGTACCTGGGGAGCTTGAGATGCGTAGCGCCAGCAGCAAGGAGCAGAAACCCCAGGGAGGACCCGTGTGATGGAGCCCCACGGAGTTTGACAGGCTGCTAGTGGAAGCGGCCAACGACTGGTTTCACAGCCCTTGTCACTGGTGGAATGTATTACTTGGGGTCCACCGGCTGCCGCCACTCACCTGGCAGTGTGCCATACCGGTGGTTGCTGTATTGCTGTGATGCTGGAAGCTAGGTGACTGCTATTTCAAGGCAGGCACAGGACCAGGTGGGGTTTCTGTCGTGCCTAGGGCTTCCATAAGTCGGAGCCAACCCGTCTGCACCCAGTGGCAATGCCATACTTGTGGCACGGAGTACCTGTTGGAGCTGAGATTTTTAAACCTGACTTTTTATTTATTGGTTTTATTTTTCCCCTTAGCTTCCTTTTAAGTGATTTTTAAGCTCGATATTGCTTCAGGTCTAATTTCTGAGACTGGAATAAGCGCTAACCTCTTTTTAAGAAAAAATCATTATGAAATCTGGAGTGCAGGAAGGAAGGCGTCTGTCCACCCAGTTTCTGGTGCAATACTATACGAAAGGGCTTCCTGGAGTTCCTGAAGAAAAAAAATAAAGGAATTGCAAGCAAAGGGAATTTCTGCATGAACTTTGGGGGGTCCCATAGAGCACAGGTGTGTCTTGCTGTTTTTGTGTGGCTCTGATGTAGATGAGGGTGAGGTCCTCCAATGTTCACCAGGACAGAGCAGTGCAGGCAGTGTGAGAATCATATAGATGATTCAATGAACTTAACTTTTGCTTTGATCTGTGGTAAAACTGGTGGTTTTCTGAGATCCAGGTGGGTGGTGGGTGGAACTCAGAAAGTCCTTGGAAAAATTGGCGTTAAAAGATACTGGCATTTTTCTCCAGGGGCTTTTTGAAGCCTCCTCGGCTGTGTTGACTGTCTGCTTTCTTGAACCATAACCACGATTTTCACAGACGTTGGCCTCTGTTCTGAAGGCAGCAAGGAGCAGACTCCCAGGAAGCATCTCACAGACTCTGTCTTTGCCCCTCCCCTCAGTGGTTGGCCATGTCACTGTCCCACCTGTACCAGGACGGGGAAGGTCACATGGACGAAGATGAGGACGAGCATGAGAACTTCGAGATCACCGACTGGGACCTCCAGAATGAGTTCAACCCCAACCGGCAGCGCCGCTGGCAGACTAAGGAGGAGGCCACCTACGGCGTGTGGGCCGAGCGAGACTCAGATGAGGAGAGGCCCAGCTTTGGAGGCAAACGGTACCAGCGGCATGGGGTGGGGCCCTCCTGCTGTATAGGGCTGTGGGAGGGTACCATGTAGAAGGTACCCACAAAGCCTATTTCTCAGGTCAGGTCAGATGGCATCAGCCAGGCAGGACTGGGTTCCTCTGCGAGCAGGATGCTTCTCTTCCACTGTTTCCACCACCCAGCCGCTGTGTAGGGAGCTAGGCCTTGCCTCCCGCTCCCTGACTTGTGGGTAAACCTCACACAGAGACCTGCAGGGAGCCTCGTATTGGCTGTGTGCCTGGGCTGGGTGGTCAGGACAGGTTTCTAGAGGAGGGACCCTTGAGCTGAACAGAGACTATAACTGGGATCGAACATGAAGCCTCAAAATGTATTGCCCTTGTGTCCATTCTGACTCATAGTAACCCCCCTATGAGTTTCTGAGACTGTTAGTCTACAGAAATAGAAGGCCTTTCACCTGCAGTAGTTTTGAACTGCCGACCTTGTGATTAGAAGCCCAATGCCTAAGGCATTCCCCCACCAGGGCTCCCCTGGAAGGATGGGAGGCCTTTGGTGGAAGGCAGTGGAGTGAGGTGCAGAAAGGGGAGGAGAGGGGTCTTTAGGGGCCTGAAGGGCATTGGGGAGAGGGAGTCTGTTCAGAGATGAGACGGCACATTAGCTGGTGTGCATTGGGCATGGGGCTCCCGTGGGAGAGGGGCCTTCAGGAGGAGCCCAGGTCAGCAGGCTACAGAGGCTGTGGGAATGCCAGTCTCCTTCCCTACCTCCATCCCTGAGCAAATAGAACATGGGTGAGGGGGCCCTGCGCCCTTCAGGACATGGGGATCCCAGGGATACTCTTCCCACTTGAGCTCTTGGCAGTACCAATAGGAAACCAAAGATCCTGGTAGAGGTGGGTCCGTGCCTGGCTGCCCATATCAGTGACTGTCTGCCCCTTTACTAGTGGGTCCCACCAGGCACCGTCTAAGAACGGTGGTGGTGAGGGTCTCTTCTAGAAGGGCTTGGGTCTTCATGGGTCCGGGGGGGCTTTCTGTCTGTGCTACAGAGCCCGGGACTACTCGGCGCCTGTCAGCTTCATAAGCGCGGGGCTCAAGAAAGGGGCGGCTGAGGAGGCGGAGCTGGAAGACTCTGATGACGAGGAGAAGCCCGCTAAGCAGGAAGACTTCCCCAAGGACTTCGGGCCCAAGAAGTTAAAAACGGTAGTCCTTATGACCACAAGGGGATCTTAGGCCGGGGTGGCAGAAGGCGCTTGGCCAGTTCCCCCAATGTGTGTGGTGCTGTGGTCTATCTCCGTACCTGACGCCCCTCACAGGCCTGGCTCCTGTGCTGCTTTCCCCAGTGCCCTGGAGCTGGCCGCCTGGCCACCTCCCATCAGTTCGCTTCCTTCTCTTCCTGCCGCCAAGTCAATTCCTACTCACAGCAACCCTTTAGGATGTCGGATTTCCGAGACGGTGACTCTCTCCAGGAGTAGAAAGCCTTGCCTTTCTCCTGAAGAGGGGCGGGTGGTTTCCAGCCGCTGCCCTTGCGGCCTGCTAGGGCGCCTTCTTACACACTTGTTTGTTTTTCCCAGCAATCCAGCTCAGGCTTCTCTTCCTCTCCAGGGCGGCAATTTCAAACCGAGCCAGAAGGGCTTTGTGGGAGGAACCAAATCGTTCATGGACTTCGGCAGCTGGGAAAGACACACGAAGGGGATCGGCCAGAAGCTGCTGCAGAAGATGGGCTACGTCCCGGGCAGGGGCCTCGGGAAGAACGCACAAGGTCTCTGTCGCCTTCCTGCTCCCACCCAGGGGGCTGGGGGTGACCCTGCTGGCATGGTGGGTTACACGTTGGGTTGCTAACCAGGTCAGCGGTTCCAAACCATCGGCTAGCTACTCTGTGGGAGAAAGAAGAGGCATTCTACTCCCAGACCGTGTTCCCGTCTGGGAAACCCACAGGGACAGTTCTCCCCGGAATTGGCTGGATGGCAGTGAGTTCGGTTTGGGTGTAGACTATCTCAAAGAATATTAGTGGCCCGGTGGGCCAGGCATTGTGCTACCAGGTCAGCGGCTCAAATCCAGGGAGAAAGAGGAGGCTTTCTGCTCTCATAAAGAGTTACAGTCTGGGAAAACCCACAGGGGCCATTCTGCCCTGTCCTACAGCGTTCTGCTGAGTCAGAGTAACTTGATGGGAATGGCTCTGGGTTTATGTGCTATGTCCTCAGACAGTCGCGGACAGATGTTGGTACCAGTGTCCCTGAGTGTTCTGCGTTATGTACAAAGTCAGTGTCCAGGTAGACCTGAGAACAGCACTCATCCATGATCCAGGACTTGCCCGTGGATAACTGCTTGCACAACATCCCAGTCCTGGAATGCCGTCCCATTTCCCAGAGTGCAGCCGGGCACTCGGCGGCACCTGACTTGCAGGATCTGCCAGGGGCTGTTTGATGCCTGGGCAAATTAAAAAAACCTTAGAAACAGCATACTATCCGTGTGACTGCTGGAGGCTTCCAGACCACTGGGAAAAATGCACTGCCATCTTCCATCCCACCTCACAGCCACCTGTAGGACAGGAGAGATCTGTGGGTTCTGAGACCGTAACCCCTGGTGGGAGGAGAATACCTCATCTTTCCCCCATGGAGCAGCCGGTGGTTTCAAACTGCTGGCTTGGCAGTGAACAGCTCAATCCATAGCCACTACACCACCAAGGCACCTCTTGCAGAGAATGCAGCTCCTAGTTGGGAATGACTGTCTTCCTGCTCCTTAAGAAATCCTTCCCGGTGAACATGAGCCATTTAGGAGGGTGATGCAGTGGGCTGTGTACTGGGAAGGTAGCGGATCTCAGCGGCTTGAAGTCACATGGCAGAGAACCGTCCTCTGTCTGTTTCATTCAGTCCTGAGCCCTGTTACCACATTCAAGAGTGTGGCTTCCCCCACCCCCACCCCAATCGAGGGGCTTGACTTGTTTAGAGACCGTATTAGTCTAGGTACTTTGGAGAAACAAATCCATAGCAACTCATGTATAAGAGAGAGTTTTATGTAAAGAAAATGTGCATCACGAAAACATCCCAA